ATCTTAGGAGATTGCTCACTACATAAAACACAATTATAGTCAGGCAAATGAAACGATTTTCTCTAGAACAGACTTATGTGTTTATTCTATCATGCAAAATGAGCCAGGTGGGGATTATGTGCCTTAGCTGTCAGGCACTCTTTCAAAGATGTCCTAAGATGGTAGGGGACTGATCATCTTCCATAAGAAGTTTGTACATTTTCATTGAGCTATAGTTTGTGGAGTCATAGTAGTATGACCAACTATTTGATTGTTTTGAACATGGATATGCAATGAATGCCCAATGCATCCCAGGCCTAGTTGATTGTTATGAACATGAGAGAATAGTAGCTATGAGAAAAAGAATGAAGCAGTTAATTTAGAAATAGTGGAGTGGGAACCGGGGGTGGGAGCAGCAATACAATAGGGGTTTGAAAGAAGAACTAGAGAACGTGGAAAAAATGATAGATGTGCATTTCCAGTGTTTAGCTTGTTTCAAGGATGCAAGGGGAGAAGGGAACATATAGGGTTTGAGTGCTTGACCCACCTGGAAGGGCACACTTAGCTCACCATATGAGAGGCGTAGGTGCATGCCACACTTTACTGAATCCATTTTAGATTTTCTGATGGGTCATTAGTCGAGAGGCGATATATACACCAACACGATGAGGATGCCACCGTGCCACATATCTGGAGGCTTAATTTTATCAGGAATCTTAAAAATCTTATGTCATATTTTTAATCATGGCAAATCGAACATTTTTATGGCAAATAATATTGTTAGACGAATGTTAATTTCCTTTATAAAGTATTATAAATTCCTTGCGTGTAACAGCCTGGATTTTGGCCCTTTCCTTTTTCTTTTTGATTTATTTGGTTTTCGCTCTGTTTTTCTTTTTGGAGTGGTTCTGTGGCCTTGTCACATGGGAAATCAGCTTCATTTCCTCTCCCAAGTGGCTCATCATTCTCAAAACCTTGCCAAGACCATGTCACTCCACTGCTTGACCAAACCCTAGTTCCTTTGTCTGGGGAAAATTCCTTTTTCTATTAAAGGAATAGCCCTAATAGCCACAGGTTGTGAAGCAACCTATATTTATGTCCATCCAAAAATTACCAAATAATTCTCATAATTCCTTTGGGTCATATGTTTCTCAAATATGCCCAAACCTCATCTTGTCCAGTTAAAAAAATAATTATCCAATATTAATTCTTCACTTCTGTCCAGAGTGGCACTTTGTGAAGGAAGTACCACCTATACAATCTTGTTTGCTCCCAAACTTGTTGGGCATTATTTTATGTCCAAATAATTTCCTCATGCCAATATTCAACTTTATTTGCCTAGCCAATCTTCCTCGGCAATTTTTCAAACTTTTTGTCAAACAGAAGGCATTGTGAAGGAAGTGCTAGCTAGGAGTACCCAAATGAGTTGAAATTTTGCATGCCCCTTCATGTGCTCATAGAATTATCCTCCTACAAATTTCAGCCCAATACCTTGATCTATTTGAGAACATGACCAAATCTTTGATTCTGGCAATATTTTCAGGTTGTGAAGCAAGTGCATTTTATATTGCTTCATTAATTATGAGAAAATACCATATTGTTCTCCTACCTATATAACTTCTCTCCACCAAATTTGGCATCATTTCACTTAGCCAATATTTCTCCAAAATTCTTGCAAGACTCTGGTCAGTGAAGATAGTTGTGAAGGAAGTACCATTTTGGTGAATCCAATTGGTATGAAACTTATACAGCATCTTTATATGATCAAATAATGAAGCCTTGCCAAATTTTAGCTGAAGTGGCCACAACATTTGAGTGCATCATCTTGATCCATTTTCTGGACCATTTGGGTTAGTTGCAAAGCAACTATGTTAAACCTTGATCCTAATCTTCTCAAAATTACCAGGATGAAAGTCCTTCTTTACCTCAACCTCGCAGACAAAATCAATGGCTCCAAACCCTTTCCTGTTGATCACTAGTCCTCAACCAAGTTTACTGCAGTAAACTTCGAAGACTTCTTACTGTTTAACCAGATCACTTTTAACCGAGCTACCACTGTAGTTGAAACCTACACTACAAGAAATATGTCAACTTGTGACCACCACTATTGGTCACTAAATGGTCACAAATTTCCATTTGTGACCTTTTTGTGACCAAAAACATAAGGTCAAAAGCTGGCCGTCATAAACTGACTATAGCGACCTTTCTTCTGGAATGGTCGAAGACGTTTATGACCAAAATACGTCTACTTTGGCGTTTTGGTCACTAGCAACCTCCCCAGGCCACGTATGCATCCAACATGGCAATCTGATGTGGCACAAGATTCAACCCGGTCCAATTCGATTTTCTACATGGGCCTAGCCCAACAATTCAGCCTATTTGTGTTTTTTTCTGTCTGACAATTTTTGGTTGGGTTCATGGGCCAAGTCCAATATTGCAGCCTTTTTATTGTTGGGTTGTGGCCTTTTTGTCTAAACGAATTTAGTTTTTCTTTTTTCCCAAAAGAAGGGTCCACTAGTCAGATGGATCCCAGTTGTCAGGTTCTATTAAAGTGGGACCCTTTTGGTAGCATCATATTATTCAGATTACAATTTGACAATTTGACAGAAATAAATAACCATGTTTAAATAAGAACAGACAGAAAACACAAGTAATATTTCAAATAACAACATCGAGAATCAATCACAGTCATACAAATATACTGGGCTCCTTCTGTCATGACACAGTTACAACATAGATACAAATACAATCAGTCACACAGATATAGGGACAATCACAATGAGAATTGACAATCAGCACAAACTGGGCTCCTGGTCCAGTCAAATGAAACTGTATGCATGACTAACTACGCGACCATAGTCGACTAGGCTACCTTCGCTACACTAGGACAGCAATAGAACTATCATCATGCCTTCGGCCGTCGCCCTATTACATGAATCAGAAGAGAAGAATCAAAACACTGGAGCCAATATATTATGAACAGAACATTCAAAAAAGGACAAGTTCTTTAGAAAGATAACACAAATTCAGCTAATACAATGATTTTGGCCCCAGATAGTTAAGACGATATACTCATTCATACAAGGTGACACAAGAAAATAGAGCACTTTACTCATAGCATGCAGAGTATCATTATTAAGTTCATAGGGTTTATAGTGCTTGGACTTATTAGAGTGGTAGCATATCATCATATACATCCGTATGTTGTAGCCCATTTGAAATGTCTAGAAAGACTTATATTTAGGAATGGAGAGAGTAGAATGTAGCATGCGATAAAACCAAAGGATTAGCCAACAATAAAAGAAGGCACATAATTAGTTCATTACATTTAGTTAAAACTGCTTCTATGAAGCGTAGGACTAAACCATTTAGTTAACACAGCAAGAAGTGCCAAGGAGCATAGTATAGTACTACACTAAAAGCACCAAGAATCTTCTGGACCTACAACAGAAACAACCAAGAAGCACTCATTTTTCAATTCATAGGCCTAAAAATATATTTATCAGAATGGCACTGAAATCAACCTCTTTATCTATCATCACAAGGTCAGTATGCTTGATAGGCCCATTATGAGTTGCCCTACGGTAATGCCGCAGATGAGACAGAGGACGCACACATTGCTGTAGACATTGGCAAGACAGGAACCAACAAAATGGTGCTTGCCATCTGCAAGGAGAAAGCAGAATACCAAAAAGGTTAGGAAAACAATATAGAATGATAAAACAAAGAAGAGATGCACCCACTCATTAGAGAAGTAGCATACCCAAAAAATGTGAAGCACAAATGGCCACCAAGAAAGCATATTTTTGTATACATTGACAAGATAGGAACCAACAAAATGCAACAGACTAAAACCAAACTTTATACAGCAGGGAATGATTTACAATAACCAAAAGATTTTGCACAACAAGCAGTAAATAGGTAGTAGATATTAACACCCATGACATAGGACTAGCATAAAAAAGAGCATCGGTGTAGAACAGGCATATAATCAGTGTAGTTAGCAAAAGATAGGGGGAAGATAAATTGAAAAACCCAGAAAGAGCATTCATATATGAGGCACTAAGCTGTATGAACCAAAAGACTATTGACATCAGCTAGCAAAGAAATGGCAGTTGGCACCACACATATCGGACGACCACATGAAACAGATAGAACAGACTGGTCGGCCATAGCTAACATGGTAAATAGAATAATGCACATATTGTAGAAGACACCACCAGCATGGATTCTAAGAAATGGATTAGAAGAGCTCAGGAAACACAATGTTCCTGGTCTGAGAATCAGTAGTACCATCTTCATTTTCAATCAGGATTTTCAAAGCCTTTTTGAAGTCACACGCGACACTGCTACATAAAGCTGGCCATGCGTGAACACAGGTGCATTAAAGTATAGATCAACACTGCATAACACGTGTCCTACAATATTTTGACTCCTACCTATTTTCTTATTTTACAAAAGTTTGCCATGCGTGTATAGATCAACTTTATATTGTGAATACATAAAGCTGGCCATGCGTGAACACAGGTGCATTAAAGAATGAAGAATACATCGACACATAGCACGAACCATGGACAAACATTGGTATGTAACCTGTCTACTCAGTAGGTGCCAATTTAGATGCACTGAATCGACACCAACTTGGGCGAACTGGTGGTATGTGCAGAAACAGCAAAACATTGCAAAATCTCCTCTTTTCCCAAATTGTGCGGTGAGGAACCAGCCTATGCCCCCAATTCGTCCTACGGAGGCAACTAGCGCAATGACTTAAGCATGACCCCAGTTCCCCACAGCTGATTACCCTTGACTCATCCAAATTCTCCTAACAAGGTAGAAATTGGCAGGTCTATTTGGAGGGAAAAATGATCTACTAAAATCTAGCTTACTAAATATTGGTCAGATCGCAGGACTGTGCGCGCACACCGCAGATCCAAAAGATCACATCGCGAGACAACAGGACCCAAGTCTAACTAAACCGTGCAAACAAGAGGGAGACGGGATCGGAGGAGACGCGTTCGCACCTAGCCGGAGCCGATGATGATGTTGTTGATGGGGATGAAGATGAGCTTGACGAAGAAGCCGACGAACCCCATGACGACGAACCCGATCACCATCCGCGCCGCCACCTTGGTGAACTCTGCACGCCCAATCAGCGTCAGATCTGGTGAAAGAGGAAAACGAACCGGATCTAGACGAGCAGGTGCGAGTCTTTGGTCCTTACCCTTGCGGTCGGGCTTGTGGCAGCGCTTGACGAGGCGGACGCTGTCCTTGGCAAACTCGCGGAGGGGGTCCACCACGGAGTCGATGGCGTCCATGGCTGCTACCGGTGGGAAGGCGAGATCTCCGAGCCGACAACGATGACGAGGTCGCGCGCGTGAGGGGAAGGGAGGGGGGAAGCCAACGGGCGAATGGTGTGCTGT